CTTTGAACTCACAGGGATCCCAAGTGTTGGGATTTTTTTTTTTTTTTTTTTTTTGGCAGAACTGGAGATTGAACTCAGTTGCCAGGGAAGCACTTATTCTACTGAGCCATCTCACTGGCCCCAGGTTATTTATTTTGGGATCATGAAAATCAATGTTCATTAGAATAAGCTGCATATTATTTAATTATTTACTGCTATGATAATTGAAAATAAAATTGAGGACATAACTAAAGCTATTCATTTTTGAACAATAGTCGCATATACAATTCCCAATGGGAGAGAATGCACATAATTGATTAGCAGATTGAAGATTGTATTCCACTCCTTAGGTTTTATAATTGAATAAAATTTTGCACAGAGTGGTCCTTCATGTTTTATTTTCCATATAAAAAACAGCTTAGAGAAATGACTCAAATCAAGGTAATGTCTTTGCAGTTATAAAACTCCTTGGTAATATAACTCTAAAATGTTTGTGTTATAAAGTGTGGTTATTGGGGAATGGGTTGAACTTCAGCCGCATAGTGCCTGGCAAACATGAGGTTTTGAGTTCGATTCCTAGTATCCCCAATAAAAGAACTGAGAAATGTAGATACTAATATTTTAATATTATATATAATTTACATACAATTCATGTAGTTATCAAAACTGTTTAGGATTACTTACAAAATTTGAACTACCTACTGTTATAAAAACATTCACCCTTCTTTCTATGACCAGTGAGATTTTGTTAAGATTTAGAATTTGCCAAATAAGACAGTAATTTTATGTGAAAATGTCCCATATTTACGCAAGGAATATATTTCCCCTTAGTAGAAATTTCTATTGCCAACTTCTACCACAAACAATTTTATTATAATTTTCTTTATTTTGAAGAGTAGAAACAAGAGCAAGAGAAACAAAAGCAAAAGCTAAAACAGGGTAACATGTAAAAATACATACATATAACAGTTAAATGGAAAGAAACAGAATTTAAGGATTAAACAACAAAGAGAGAGAAAGGAGAAAAGTTAGAATATATGGTATGGGCAAAATCATATATTTATATAAAGAAGATGGTTAAGGCAATGGTCCTAAGAATCTCCATCAGGTTTTTGAAAATAGAAATTAATGGGTAGAATTCTCACCCTGACTAACTCTCTATATTGACATCTGTCAACTATGCAACACAAACATTTTCTGTAAATACCACCAAATTCTGCTATACATAATTTTATATTATATGATTTATTCAGTTTGGTTATTTTTTTAGATTTCTAAAGTATTTCATACATATGTAGAGCTATCTCAATTTCTGTAAAAATAAAGGAAATTTAAAAATTGCCTTTTAGTGTCATAATTTCACAATTATTTCCCAATAGAATAATTAAAATATTTTTCTAAGTATTAAATTACATAATACGTTATAGTCATATACCAACTACTTTAAATATTTTACAAAATCAAAAAACTGATGAGTGTTTATAATGCAAAAGGACTTATGGGTAGACAAACCTTTGCTTTTGTATCAAATTTTTCTGCAACAGTAGGTGTACAAGAAACATGAAGAACAGTTATTCCCCCAAATGGAACTATTCCTTGTGATGGAACAATATTAATGGTAGGCAAAAGACTGTCTTCACAAACCTGCAATTGAAAATTTGTAGGAATGTTTAAAATTACTGCCTCAAAGCTTTTGTTGCATCCACACCACTAGTTAAAGAGAATATCTGAGCATAGCATATGAAGTGATTTTTTAATATTGTTTGAAAATATCAGAGGTTGAACCTGCCACAAGATATTTCAACTCTCACAAAAAGAACTCATAGTAGGGGCTTTTTCTGATTCAAATACGGTTGATTTCCTGCTGTACTCCCAAAATTGCAAAGTTTAAACAAATGAAATATATATCTTAGAACTGATGAGAACATTCTATATACAACTTTGATATGCCTTTCCTAGTTCCTGAAGACTAAAATCTTAATGAAAATACAAGATGCACAAACAACCTTCTTTTATCTCCTTGATAGAAGGTCTAATGTCTAAAAATTTTCAAAGATACTATAAATAACTTACCAAGGACTTAAATGTAAATTGCTAGAGGTCAATTTAAGTCTATTTACCATCCTTAAATATATAATTTAAAAGAAAACTGGTCAAAATATTTTAGATACAACAAGCAAATAGACTAGGCAGAAATTAATTCTGAAGCAGCCAAGTGGAAAAGGATTTTTTTTCACTTACTTTGGACAGAGTTGGTTTGAGCAGAAAAAAGGCATGCTAACATAAAGCCTAAATGAAAGCTGTTAAAGTTAACCACCACTACCACTAATGGGGTGTGCATCTTGTTATATTTTTTTCATTAAATAATCTCTTAACACCACTTATTCCTTCACTCTCTTTAAATAAGAAGCAATGAATACAAATAGACTAGTCAAAGAATGCCATCAAAATAAGGATCATTTGATATGAAAACAGCACAGACCATAGAGTGGAAATTAAGAGAAAAAGAGAAACATGTAACTAAATATGTGATGAAGTATTAATTATGTATGTTTAAAACATCTTTCAAACACTTTTAAAAAATAAAAGTAATTGACAGACCAAAGAAGAAAAATGGAGGAAAGCAGAAGAAAGGAAATATGTAAGGAAAATGGGAAAGAAGGAAGGAAGAGAGAAAAACAATGCTTATGGGAAATTAAAAAGACAAAGCAGATGAACTGTATTCAGAAAATGTTTTTCTGTAGAAAAATTAAAAATTAGCATAAATATATCTCAGATGACTCATAGCACCAACAAACTGATTCAAATCATATGATTTGATTCAAATAAGAAATGACCAAAATTATATATTACCTTGAAAAATGCATGGTTTTGTCCTATATTATGAAGAATGGCTTTCTTCCAAGTTGCTAAACCTTGAGGACTATTATTGAACAATATCCTTGGCTCCAAAAATGTGACTTTGGCATCATGAACCTTGTAATGAGAGGAAGAAACGGAAAATGAATTCAGAGTAAATAAAATAGTTTACGTTTTTCAAAAAAAGAAGTGTTTTACTTGTAAATATATTAACTAAAGATATAATTAGTGAAAGACAAATTATAATCACCTATATTATTTATTTAATGTTTGACATACGAAATGAATTCCATATTATGTTATTACATTCCCATTTTGATTAAAAAGTATTTGAGGTATTATATTATTTTCTTAAATCAGACTGAATCCGTGACAGTCCAGCTACATTACAGTGATGTCATTGGAGCAATTTTACGTAAGTAGTTTGTTTGTACTACTAATAAATAGATATTTAGGATTTAGGTATGTTAGATAAATATATCTAGATATTTTGGTGGTAATAATCATGATGATAATGACAATCATAAATGTATTGTGGGCCCATTATAAACAAGACATACAATTAGTCATTTATTTACATTTTCACTAAGATGCACCAGACCAGAAAACAGCTGGAGGGTAGCTAAACTGTATTACTCATGTTTAAATACAAACTGCATATGGTCTGATACAGAGAGCCCTGGCTAGGTAATAACTGTTAGATAAATTGATGGATGGTACTGTTATTCTTCATAGATGAAGAAATCAAATGTAAAGTTACTATGAAAGTCATACAATGATGAAACTGCATAAATTGCATTCACCGACTGTACAGAGCACATATAAATACATTTCAGACATATTATTTTGGTGCATCAATCTAATGTTGTATCTTTATAGCTGAATATAAAATCCTTACTATCATAAAACTCAGTATTGCACATGGCAAAAAATGACAAAATAGTAATACTAGTGCTAAAAATGTATTTGTATTCCTATAACTTCAGTCTTTAGCTTCATGGTGCTATTTAAAATATAAAGTGTTTTCAGATATTGTAGTGTTTAAGAGAGAGAAAATAAAATGAAATATTTAAAATATACTCCCAAACTGAAAAAGTCATGGCAAGTAGGTTTCTGTAGGAAAGGTGCATACAGGCCTAAAAAACATACTTATCAATTACAGAAAGAATCTTAGGGCACTGTTTTTCTTCTTTATGTACAGAATATTACTATATACTATATTAAAGGAGGAAGCTTCAAAGGTCATCTAAATATGGGAAACATATTGCCTAGTGAAATTATCTAGGAATGCTCATAGTGGAAGTTTGCTCATAGGGATTAATATACTGATAAAATACACTTGGATTATTTGAGAATGAGGACATATTTGTAGATACAGGTATCCCCTTCCTCATTCCAGACAAAGTATTTCACAAACTAGTAAATCACAGAACACGTTTTCTTCATGTATCTGTTGACTGAATAATAAAGTTGTAATGATTAAATTAGGTAATACATGAACAACAGGGTACTTTACACATGATAATTACTCAATAAATGGTATTTATTTATTATTCATGCTAATGGTAAATCAGTTAATTTCATCTTTTGTCTATTAGAAAAAAACACATGCAAAGTGAGTGCACTGGCAAACTTATAATAGTATACTTGTTGAACATATTGTATAAAGAAGTTTTAAAAATTTTAATATATTTAACAAAATCTAGTATTAAGAATGCTTTTAGAAAATGATCATATTGGCTAACTTTTTGTGATACTGGAGATTGAACTTGGAGAATGAGTTATATCTTAAGTTATTTTTTATATTTTATTATCTATTTATTTATTTATTTATTTATTATTACTATGTTTTAATGTATTTGGTTGATTCAGGGTCACATTTTGCAGCTCAGACGCGTGGTGATCCTCCTGCTTTCAGCCTCCCAAGAGCTGAGATTACAGGTGTATTCCACTACTCCAGAACTCTGTGGCTGGCTCAACCCACCGTGGAGGTGGGGCTAGCATAGCATGTGATGCCAGGGATAGAACCGCAGTCCCTGTATTTGCCTAAGCTTGCTTAGGCAGGTGCTGTAGTCTGCTTAGCTATCTCACTGGCCCCTTAAAAAACTAATCACAAGATAAAATCTTGCTACATTGCACAAGCTGGTCTGATTTTATGGTCTTCTTGTCCCAGACTTCTGGGTGGTTGGGATTATGGGCATGTGTCACTATGCCTGGCTATATTAGCTAAATGTCTGAAAAAAACCAACTTTAGCAGTATAAAGGGCAAGTGATGGTAAATTCTTACAATTGGATGCTATTCAGGAGTGAGAAAGAATAATTTACAAACACATGCATGAGCATAAATTAATCCCATGAACTTAATGATCAAAAGAAGCTGTAAAAGAAATAGTATATGTGGCTTGATTGCATGTATATCAAGTTCAGAATCAAAAATAATCAATTGTTGTAGAAGTAAGAATATTGATGACCATCAGAGAGACCCCGAGAGAAAAATGAACTAGAGGTGGAGGTGCTTCTTTTGTAATACTGTGTTTTGTTTTTTGATCTAACTGAATTTGTATTGTTTTACAAAGGTGTTATAAGTTGTTGATATTGAATGTGCTCATTTCTGTTTGTATGAAAGCAAGTATAAGGTCCTGAGTTCAGTTTCCCATACCAAAATAAATAAATAGAAAATATTTTTTAAAAACTCTAAGTGAGAATTTTGGTACATACATAAAATGTTTCCTTAAACAAAAAAGAAAAATAAAATAAAAGTTATCTAATTAACTTTGCTCTTATTTTTAAAAGTATATTTTACATAAATAAAAATGTTGGTCTTTGCCTGTTATATAAATTATATAATCCATTTTATACTGAAAATTAACTACTACCACTAGAATAATAATGCAATACAGTAAGACCAAATATAATTTTATTTTTCTTTGCTGTCTATTGATGAAATAATTTTATTTCATGTTATTAGGCAGTTATAGAGCCTCTGACAGTCTAATAGTTTTTAAAATGTTCTGAATTTGAGTTAATTCTAATTAGCTTAACATCTTTTTATTAAAGCCTTCATTCAAGATAGGCTGGAGGAGCCATGAAAGACTTAAGTCAATTTGGTTAGTTAAATATTGTGTAAAAGTCACTTTTTCCATATGTTATATCATTAAACATATAAGATATATTTTCCAGTAGAGACACATGTAAATATTCAAAAATTACAGACATCAAGTTAAAAATTATACTCAAGAGAAGTAATTACATTTGTAATACACTGTAGTATTAAGGTGGTTCCATCAATAACATGAAGAATGAATATGCCTCTTTCTGGAGAAGTGAAACCTGGGTGCCATGTTACTTCACATTCCAATGATGAATATGGTTCAATAATACCTACACAGAATATATAAAGAAGATGTAAATCATATTTGCTAAGTTGATTTTTGTGACTACTGAAAATCTCAGGTGGCCTAAAACTGCAATGTCATTATACAGTAAATTATTAGAGTTAAATTATATAATAAGAAAATGAGGGGGCCAGGGAGATGGCTCAGTAGGATAAGCGCTTGACTGGCAAACGCAAGGATCTGAGTTCAATCCCTGGTTCCGCAAAAAAAAAAAAAAAAAAAAAGAAAAAAGAAAATGATTTGTGAGATAGTATTGATTAAACATAGCCTTATAGGATTTGTTTAAAATCTAATTATAGCACTTATTACAGTCTAATATGTATACATGCCATATTTCTCAATTTTAATAGACAAATGAAAATATATGACAAAAATATGCCAATATTTGAAACATGATGGAAAACATGTTAATGAAACAAACATTCTAGGACTAGAGAAAGTTTTAAATATAAAATATAGAAAATAGTTTATCCTTCATAAATATTCCCTCTATTTATTTCCTAACTTTCTTGAATACTTATCAACACCAGACAACTTTCAGAGGAAGGAATTACTATTACTCAAAATTATTTTTTCATGTGTATAAATCTCTAGCTACATATGTAAACTCTCCTATAGCTAATAGTAATTTACACATGTCTGTAATTGAAATGCATTGAGAACCTATGTAGTGTCCGGAACTTTTAAAGCGAGACATTTCAATTATTTATATTTATTACCTCCTTTGAAGCAAGGAAAAACATTTTTGATGATAAAATAACTAATAAATTCTTCCTTTCATAAAACAAGAGGCTCTGAAATTGTTCTTATGGGCCACGTCTACTTGTTCCATTCTATCTATCTCATAGTCTTTTTTTGTATTTTGTTTCACTCAAATGAGAGATACTATATGGCATTTAAACTTGTGTGTCTGGTTTATTTCAGTCAACATTGTATTTTCCAGGTACATTCATTTTCCTGAAACTGTCTCAGATTAGTTATTCCTCATAATTGAGTAATATTAAAGTATATATAGATACCATATTTTCTTTAAAGGCTACTATAGGATTTAACTATTATGATTTGTCTTGTTAGAAACACTTATAATCAAGTACTACTGTAGTATGATATTTAAAACTCTCTGGGGAAGACAACTCACAGGAGATCACTGGGTCATATATATATATTTTTTAAATTTCAGTTCTTTGAGACATTTCCATGCTGATTTCTATAAGGATTATCCTAGTTTATGATTCTTACAACAATGAAAGAATTTTTTTACCACTGCAATGCCAGTATTTGTTATACTTTGACTCCTTTATTATCACCATTCTTCCCACAGTAAGATTTATTTTCATATGTTTTATTGAACATTTACATGTCTTCCTCTGTGAGATGTCTATCTGTTTCTGTTACCCATTTCTGACTGAGTCTTTAGTTTTAGATAGATTTTTTCATAGTTCACATTTTTATTTTAGTTTTTTACTTCCTCCACTGCATTTATTTATTTTTTCTTTTTTAATCTTCTATTCATTTTAAGGAGAAAAAAGATAAAAGCAATGAAACAGTATTAAAACTAGTTAGTATGACACTTACAATAATTAATACATTACATATTGGTGTCTTCATAGTAGTTATTCAGAGGACAAGATGTAGACAAAAAGGGGGATATAAATAAAGGATCTATTTGTAGTGAAAACAAATGTATGTGTATATGCAAGAGAGTTAGGATAGATATACAGCTACACTCTCTTAGTTCAACGAGAAGAAAAATATGTACTAATATTGCTTATTTTTTTGTATTTTTTTTAGTAAGGGTCTACAGGGTGTCATGACATAGATCGAACTTGTTGTACTCCATCTGTGTTCAGCCTCCCAAAGAGCTCGGATTACAGATGAGCGCCACCATGCCCAGTCTTCTACTAATATTGTTTAGACAAGATTATTTTTTAGTTCTTCATACATTCTACATATCAGTCTGCTGTCTGAGGTGTAGATGACAATGTTTTTCCCATTCGTTAGCTTGTTCTTTCATTATACTTATTGATTCTTTTACTGTACAGAAGCTTTTTGTCTGATATAATCTCATTTGTTGATCTCTATCATTTTTTGTGCACTTGACATTCTGTTTAGAATACTCTAACATTTATGCCTTCATGGTATAAACTCATGATAAAACTAACTGGGAAAGACAAAGAATTTCACTCCATACTCAGTAAGTGAACAATTCAGCAAGAAGAGAGGACATTTATAAAAATATATGTACCAAATATCACAGCTCCTATATTCATAAAACAAAACTGCTAAAGCTAAAAGAAGCAATTTCAAATAAACATAAAAACAATCTTAATAGGGAATTTTAGCACCACACTTTAGCAGAGTAATAGAGAAAGTAAAAATAAAGCAATAGAGTCAGGGGAAAATGAAGGAAAAGAAAAAATATAAAAAACAAGAAAAAAGTGGAAAGAAAGCTTCTGTAAATAAGGTGAGAAAGACAAGTTGAAGAGAAGGAAATTAAATGGGAAAAATCATGATATATTATGTAAAGATATAAATTCCCTATTATGGATGTGATAATTATGTATAACTAAAATGTATCAACAGATTTAATTAATGAAAAAAGAATTATCAGAGCTGAGCCACAACTTTGAACATATGTACATAATAGATATTTACTCATATTGCAACCCTGTATAACACAACATTTGTTCTTTTCTTCAGCACCTGATGCATTATCTAAGGTGGATAATATACTACTCTACACAACCTGCTTATATAAATACAAAAGAATTGAAAATACCCTAGAAATAATTTCAGAGCACTGTGTAATGTAAATCAACTACAGAAGAGATTGCAGAAAATTCAAAAACCCCTAAAAAATTAACAACATACTCCTAAAGCCCAATGGATCAGAGAACAAATCAAAGAGATAATTTAAAATTTTTTGAGAAGATAATAACGATGATTGAACAGCTTATCAATACCTTTCTGGTGTCATGAAATCAGTTCTAAAAGGAAAGATCAATGTAATCAATGCCCACATTAGGAAAAAAGACCAAGACCAATTAAATAATATTGTGTGAAATCTTAATATACTTGAGTAATAAAAACAAACCATTCCCAAACCACAATTAAACAGGGAAACTATAAAGAGCAGAAATCAATGAAAATGAGAGTGAAAAAAATAAACCAAAGAGTTGTTTCTTTGATAGAATAAATAAAACAAACAAATTCTTAGCCAGATTTACAAAAAGAGGAAAGAAAGTCACATCACTACAATTAGAAATGAAAAAGGTGAATTCACAACAGACACTGTTGAAATCCAGAAGATAGTAACTACTTTGAAAAATTACATTTGAAAAATCTGCAAATTTTGAAACTATAAGAAAATATACACAGACCTGCAATAGCCAAAGTAATCTGGAGCAAGAAGAACAAAGCAATAAGTATAGTAGTATCTGACTTGAAGCTATAATGTAAAGTAATAGTAGAAAAATGATATGATACTAGAACAAAAATATGAATCAGTAAAACATAATAAAGAACAGAGAAGCATCCCTAGATACAATTCAACTATATGATACTCAACAAAATCTCCAAAGATATATGTTGGAGAAAAGATAGTCTATTCAACAAGTGTTGTGAAAACTAGTTATCATTTTGCAAAAGATTGAAACTATCTCTCACTATATACAAACTATAAAATCAAAATGGTTCAAAGACTTAAAAATGAAAACAGAAACATTAAACTTGATTGAAGACAAAGCAGGTAAATCAACTGATACCACAGATGTCTTATGGCTTTGGTAAAAGAAGCTGGAAGCAAGCATTCTCTGAAGTACTTTTCTCTGTCAAAGTAAAATATTTTTGTTAGCAAGGTGAACAAATACCATATTTGAGCTTAACAAGGTTCAGAGCAGTAAGGCACATATAAATAAATGTGTGCAAATAACAAAACAGATGTATAATGAGATCAAAACTGGTGTAAGAATTCTTAAATTAATCCAAGAAGAACAGGAGATAGCATTTGAGCTGTGATATGAAAAATAAGGTGGACCTTTACAGGAGAACAAAGAATGAAGGAAGTGTAGTTATTACCACATTTGAATGCAGAAAGTTAGGTTTCAGGAAAATTACAATGGGAATTCACTTTGTCAAAGAAGACTCAGTGTTAGAAATAAAGCCATTTAATTGACCTGAGAAGAGGTGAGACTAATAAACAGATTATATATCAATGATGAACTGTCTACTTGAGGAGAAAAAAATGTTTTCTTAATCAGAAAAAAAAAATTGCTTATCAGGGGACAGTGAAATGAAAGTGGATGGCTGAACTGAGCACAGTTGGGACTAGCAGGACAGATGCTGCATGTCTTAGTTACTCTTCTCTCCTTGCTGGGGCAAATACCCGACACTCGAAATGAAGGAAGGAAAGGTTTATTTAGCTCACAGTTACTGGAGGTTTCAGTCCATACTCAGCTGGGTCCAAAGCAGAGCAGCACACAGCAGAAAGCAACCTTTCATGGTGGTGGCAAAGAGCAAGAGCACAAGGGAGGGGTAGCAGCAGCTCAAGCAGCTAGCTTCTCTTCCCACCTTACATTGTAATGCAAATTACCTGCCCCAGGGCAGGCAGCATCCACACCCACAGTGATCAATCACAAACTCCAGAAGCTGCCCCAAGACTGCCTGAGGCTTTGGGGGGACACCTAGACACAAACCATAACACTGCATATGGTCAAGGAATGAGATAACTGAGAAAGATGATGAAAATGAAATGACTGAAGAGAAGTTCAAGGACTGATTCAGTATTTTAGTAAGAATAGAGAATGCAAAGAAGGAAAACAAACAGAAGCATAAATAATAGCCATAGAAAATATCAACTTAAAATTCAACTCTATGTCAGAAAACAGAACAGATGCATGAATAACAACTGTATAAAATCAATTTGAAGTTACTTCTATCTCAGAAAACATAAATTCACTCTTACTTTCTCCCCTTGAAATTTATGCAGTCTAAACACAAATCCAAAATATAGCATATGTCAGGGTTAATAGACAGACACAAAATAAGTTTTCATTTTGAATTATCAAGTTGTTTTACAAAAAAGGAAAAAAATGTATATGATTAAATGTACTGTCCAGGATGTAAAATCAATACAGTATAAAGAAAATAGCCTCATAAAAATCACTTTCTCTTCATACAAGAGGCAAAGGATAACATAAAATTGTTTTATCTGAATTTCTGAAAAAAAACAATCTATACATACATTCAAATCAATGCAATACACATCTTCCTTGGTACTGTGCAACATAGATTCGAGAATTGTATCGTTAATATTTTTAGAATGGAAAAAAAACTTAAATAGTAATATTATTCATATAAATATTTTATTTGGAATCAAGTAACTATGAATTTATGACTTAGTAATTGTTTGATTAAAAGAAATTCTCAGGGCATTGGAAACTCAAAGAAAAAAATAAATACTGAAATCTCCACTATAAAAATCATAGTTCTAAAGACCCAAAGAAGCATAGCTGGTGATACAGTTTCTAATAAATACTGTAATGCTACTTATAGTATGTTTAAAAAAGGAATCATCATTGTATTTGCACGACAATCACATGGACAAGCCCAGTCCATTTAGTCCTCATTAGGATGGAGAAATACAGGAAAAAGCCTTAGTATTCTGTGTGTTTCAGATGCTGTGGAGGAATTATCAGATCATTGGTGAGAACATATAGCTGGAATGCCATAACTGTTCCAATAAAATTAAAGTATAACTAGAATACCTTACATGTTAGAAATATGATCTCTTTCTTCACTAATTATTTTATTTCAATAGATCCTCATATTATCAATATAATAGTTAAATGAGTCTGGAAAATATTGGTAAAAGTGTATCTCATATATTTAATAAATTATGACCCCAGATAGTGTTAAATCAATCCCAATTAATACGGGCATATAAATGATTCCCAGCTCTAATGAAAGGACAGACTTTTTTCCACTTGCTAAATTTAATCAGAATGTCCACCAATGCCTTCATATTAAAATGTTCAGACTTGCCTGGTCACACAGTTGTGTAACAAAGAGCCAGTTCCTTAAAATATCTTTGTTTCTCATCTCCATCTCCACTTCCAACTTTATCTCTATTTCCTATATTGCTTTTTTCTACCTCTCAAGAATCCTAACTAGTGCAGCATCCATAATTTCAAGTCATATTTATGTATGTAAAAATAAATATCCTTAAGGACAGTTATCTAGGCTATTTCTATGCTCTAGGTACAATTACCCAGTAGAGAGAAAATGATTAATACCAAATACATGAATGAATGAATGAATGAATGAATGCATAAATGAAATGAACAGAATCAGCCATTACCTTTAGCTGGACGAATTGAAAACGCTATCCCTTGTAGTGAGTTCACTGGCTGCCATCCAAATTGGGCAGACTTGTTCTGATGATTATATAACCTAATTGTCCCGCGGAAGTATGTTTCCAACAAGAAACCTCGTGGTTTCAACACTATCTCATCTGAAGATAGCTCAAGTTTTAAAGGAAGGACTTCTGCAGTCACTAAAATATGCCCAGCAGGTATGTTGTTTACAGTAAAGGCAAAAGATCTGCAACATAACAAAGCAATCCAAATTTAATTGATAATAGTTCTTTATAGTAACAATTCAGTTTCATATAAAATGCATATACTATTGATTGATATACATATTTAGTTCATAATGTATAATAATTTAAAATGTTCATGAAAGAGAAATGGATGATTACTGAACTATAAACCCATGAATCTACAGTTCAAGTGCATTTCTATATCTTGAAATAAAATCTAGTACACAGTACAATTATTTGGGTAAATACATATCCATTATGATTCTAGAAAAATAGAAACTTGAAAAATAAAATATTACCTCCAAATTTTTCCAATGATAAAAGTTTGAAGTATTATTGGAACATGACTACTGGATGTAGGTGGAATCACATACGAAAATATTTTAGTATTCTGAAGTTCTTTAAAATTGATATCTAATTTAATCAAAATATGCACAGAGAGCATATTAATAAGATGCAGTGAATGAGTATTTGTGGAATTCACACAAATATTACCAAAGTTAAGGACAGGGGGTCCTGAAAAAATGAAAAGTAAGTTAGTGAGTTTAATGTGGGCAAATAGGTTCATTTATTTTTAATGTTTTAAAAATATATTTTCACTAAGTTGTACACAAAGGATACTGAAAAATATTCACTAAAATACAAAAAACTGTTAGATACATTTTCTATCTAATTAGTATTACTTCATGTTTGGAAATATTAACACAAAACCCAAAATGAGTATATTCTACTTATATGGAAAATTATATGACAAAATAATAAGCACAATAAAATGCAGCACACTAATTTGTAACACTCCACCAAACTCTCTTTTCCCAATAAAACTATTTGATTAACTTATTCATAATTTACAGAAATGGGTTATTCACCAACCATAAACTGCCTAAAATTCTCCTTAAGGTGCTCAAGAGAGAGATTAAACATAATCAAGTACACAATATATGTTGGTGATGCTCAGATGAGAGACACAGGATAAGATAATCTGAAATAGGGCAAGGTAAATACAGCCAGACATGGAAAATTAAACTGAAAGACAAATTCTCTAGGTTGAACCTAATACCTGAATTGTTGAAGAAGAGAAGAGGAATCACTCCTGGTCTGCTGCCCCACCCCCAACCCTGCCCACAAACACATACAGTTTACCTATTAAACACATCATTTTAACAGCCTGAAAGACACAGTATTGTAAAAGCCAGTAGAATAGACTCCCTCCATATTTTCCCTCCAACTTGAAAGACAAACCAAAGCAACAGGCCCAAGGGAATTTACATACTACAACCAGAGAATGAAAGCTAGCAACACAAACAAAGCCAATTTGGCTGCCACTCAGTCTCCTAAACACCAGAGAACACGATGTCCCTGTGTCATCCTATCCACTGATCAACATCAACAAGGGAAGCCTCCTAACATAAACAGAGAAAGGCTGACCACAACAAATTATGGGTAGCACCATTCTTGCTGGTAGAGAGCCACAGGTGGTATTCCCCTGGAGACATGACAGACAGGGAAAAGTCAACAGAGTCAGACTAGAGAGGTACTTTCCTAACAATTCTCCAATCACCAGAAAAATCAGACACAGGGTGATATCCTGCCCACAGCCTACTGCCCCAGAAAGGCAAAGGAGGGACTTTGCTTAGCCTAAGCACTGTGCCAAGTTCCACAGGTTGGAAAATGGAGATCTTGAGGCAGAGACCAGGAATGGATAAATATCTGAGGGTGAAGTAATAGAGTCTCAGCCAGGGAAGAGGCCCTCTGGTTATAGAGTGGATGGAAATTACTGTCTCATCACTGAGACACATTAGCTGACATCCAAAATTTGAAGGAGGAAACATTTATTTTGGCTTACAATTTGTAGAGGGTTCAGTACATAATTAGCACCAAGGCACTGAGGCATGGAAGGGGGGCATAGCAGATGAAAATTTCTCATGGCATGGCAGCATGAAGCACAGAGATCAAAGAAGAGTAGGGAAGGGAGCTAGATCTTTCAATACAATGCTCACAGGGACAAGTCTCTTCTAACCAGGCCCTCCCTCCAAACAGCAAATACCCCCCAAAATCCACTAAGCTCCCCATAACCCCTCCTATGAATGCATGAGGCTCTAGTAGAACATCTAGACAGATATTATAACAAGACCCCCAGAGAAAGAACATAAAAGTAAGCATGAGATTTGTCCTGCAGGGAGGGTAGCAGGTATGGGAGGTCACTGGCAAAAGATGACAAAACCATGGATTAGGCAGACCAAGTCATATCCTCTCTTTCCGAAGACAACTGAGATGGTCAGGTGTAGAAACAGTGACAAAAGTCTACAGTTGGCCATGCCCAAAGTGCAGGTTCCAGGTAAGAGGCTGATTCTGCCAGGCTGACAACCCTCACCAATTAAAGGCAAACAACTCTGCAGTCTACCAGGATAAAATCAGCTTGGCTTCCCTCAATTACATAAGGACTACAATATGAAGGGAAATATCTGAACACTCTAGCTATATTGTATGGTGGATGTATGGATTGTTTATTGATTGTTCTGATTTATCTTTGTGTTTGCTTTTCTTTCTTTTCATCATTTCCTGCTTATTTTAATACTTTTTTTCATTTTTCTTTATTCTACTCTTTACATTTGTCTTTCGACCTTTTTTCCTTCCCTATTATTTTTCATTTGCTTATCCTCATTTTCCAATTTTCTTGTTTATTCTCTCTTCCTGTTGACCTTTTATACAACATGTATAGCAAGTAGGTGCTTTTATATATATTAAAATATGAATAAACCAGTCCTTTAAATGGTACCACTCATGGGCATACTTGGGTAACCCTTCTCAGAATTGTGCTTAGAGGGTACAAACAAAATAAACCATGAATGTATGAGCATGTTTTGATGACCACTGGGCTTCCTAGAATCTGTAATTATACTTCTTTACCAATACATCACACCACTCAGTCCACAAGTGTTCTCTAAAACCTTCTCAACATCACTCCTTACTCTAGCTATAAAAAGAACATTAAGAGAGTCAGTATGTCTATTTTTCACCTAGACATTCCTTTTATCTACTTCTACTACTCCTGACTTTCTTTCTTCCTTCTTTCTTCCTTTTTTTTTCCCTCCACATTCCAGATTATACACTATTAGCAGAGAATTACAGTTTATAAGCTAAAATTGAAAAGTGGGCAAAACTGTCAGAAAAGCTTTCATGTTTATGACTAACCTATGGTAGGATCTGTGGATGCTGTTATAACCCATACAAATTCTTTCCTTACAACATAGTGACTGGCTCCCTTGCAATTAAACTGAATAGGATAAAAAAAAAAACCTTCTTGAAAAATAAGCCCATAATCACATCACTGGAAAACATAACCAACCTAAAGAGATCTTCATATCAATAAAGAAGTTTTCATTCTATTTAATTTCAAACCTCAACACATCGTACAGACACAGACACACACATACACAAAAAAAAAATGAAAAAAAAAAACAAAAAACAGAATGCCTACAAAATGTCCAACTCTCAAAAGCTGATCCAAAGAACATATCTGCAGATTTTTTAATAAAAAAAATCAAATCAAATACTAAATATCTAGGCTTTACAAAATGATCAAATAGGAAGGAAAACTCAGCAAGTTTAAACATGACATAAATGGTTAGTGGAAATAACATATATACCAATGTGGTTGAAAGTCAAAGAAAAAAGTTAGATGAGCTTATTAAAATGGTTCAAAATATAAAGGACAAATTTCTTTTACAAAATAGAGATTATAAAATACTAGAGAAAAATAATTATACTGAATATATGAATAAATGAACAGCACAAGTGACCAAAGTAAAGAGAAAGTGTCAGATTAGGAGCACAGATAATAAAATATGAGATACTTTAAAAACAACTAATGAGCAAAGAAAATTATTCCAAGTGCTACTGGATGACACTAAGACTACCATAAGAACAACTGGAGTTGGAGAAAAATTAGAGGCAGCACATGTAGAATTGAAATATCTGCTCATATAAATCATAGAAAAAAACTTTCTACGTATGAAGAGAAAAAAGCAAACAGGTAAAGAAGCCTTAAACAATGCCAAGTAACTGCAGTAAAAAAATGAGCTCCCTATGCCACATCACAATCAAAATCACAGAAGTAAAATACAAAGAAAAAAATGTGAGATGTCAAAAAAAAACAATCACAATATTAAATGTACGAGGATTACTGTAGATTTTCTAACAAACTCTAAAGGGCAAGAAGCCCTTGGAGTGCAGTATTTCAAGCCCTAAAAGAAAACACCTTCCAACCAAGATTAATATATCCTTAAAAACTCTAAAACTTCATGAAGCAAAGAGGACCTACCATGACAAATAACAACTTAAGAAATCCATAACACCAAAATACTACTGCAAACATTCTCAAAGATACCTTAGACAGCAAATAAATACAACAGTGCCAAAATTTTAATGGAATAAATAGATCAAGCAAGGTTTGAAGTTAAACAAAAAAGGAAAATAAAAGGTATCAATTACAGAAAAATAATGCAATGGAAGAAAAAAAAAATGCCAGTACTTTTCAGTAGGAATTCTCAATGTAAAATATCTCAGCTCCCAATTTAAATGACACAGGTGACACAGGTGAGGCTACTTAATGTAAAAACAAAATTCAATGGTTTTCTACACACAATAAATATATCTAACCCACAAAGAAATTCACAGTCTAAAAACCAAAGACTAGAAAAATATTCCATACATTACACATGAAAGAAAACAGGAGTATCAAATCTAATTCTCACAGTAGACTTCAAACTAAAACTTCTCAAAACAGGCAAAGAATGTCACCACATATTAGTTAAGGAAACATTTCAACAGAAAGAGAAGACTGTAAATTTATATGCAATTCATATTGTTGCACTTTTATAAAACAAACACTATTGGAAAAAAGATCAAATAAACATCAACAGTATAATAGTAGGTGACTAAAATACCCCAAGTTTACAAACAGATTAATGAGATAAAAAGCAAAAACTTTCATAAATTAACCATATTTTCAACCATATAGACTTAATAGGTACTTCACAGTGTTGTATGTTACTAAAATGGAACACACATTCTTCACCAAAATACATGGAAATTTCTCCACAAGTATCAGCTACTAATCCATACATACTACATAAATAAACACAAAAGCATGGCAATTACCCCAAGTATACTATCAGATCATAGCACATTGAAATTAGCATTTAATCACAAATAAACCTGCCAACGTCAAGAAAATCAACACGTTAAATAACTTGAGAAAAGAACTACGATGTAGAATAATGCCTGCATTTCATATTATTCTCTAAGTAGTACACAAAGAAAGACAATCAAAATATCAGTGCAAAAATTGTATAAACTAATTTGACATTCTTACCATATCACACAAATATGGGCTGCAGTGTGTGTTCCAGTACCAAATAAATTGTGTCCCCAGATAGAAGACTTAAATGTAACCAGGATACAAATTAGAATTGTTTGAACCAAGAATAATAAAATCTCAAAAAATATCAAGACCAAGATAACACAGCTTTTATTGTTTGCGTCCAGTTGTCCCCCCAAACCTCATGCAGTCATTGAGGTGGGCTTGTAGAGTTTGTGGTTGACTCATTGCCCATTTCTGGCATTATGAGTGTGAGTGCTGCTGGGATTATGGGTGTTAGGGCTACACTCATGAATAGCCTGAATGCAATATAGGGAAGGGAAAGAAGCTTACTGTATTCCACATCTGCTACTCATCCCTTTTTGCTTTTGGTGTTTAGCTGTTTTTCATGATGAACTGTTACATTCTGCCATGTTTCACCCTGCCTTGGAGCCAGCTGAGTATGGACTGAAATCTCCACAAAATGTGAGCCAAATAAACCTTTCCTTCCATAATTTTAGCTGTAGTTTATTTTGTCCCAGCAATGAGATTAAAGTAATGGAGACAACAGCTATTGGAATTATTTGACAAGTATTTAAAAGAAATCAGTGTAAAAATGGTAGAATAAATAATTTCAAATATGCATAATAAATGGAAAAAAACATTTTTGCAAAGACATAGAAAGTACATAAAACTAAAAAAGGGTATTTATATAGAAAAAATAATCAGTTAAACAGAAACCAAATGGATATGCTCAATAACAAAATAGAATGTGAGAACCAAACGTTGGTGAATTTGAGGAAATGTCAATAGAATTTATCTAACTTGAACAAAGAAATGAAAGATTGAACAAAAAACAGGATGCCAGAATGTCATCCTGAACAATGTCACTAAAGTCCTAACATGAGAGGCCAAAATCAAGGGGATTGAGAAAAAAAGTCTGTGAAGAAATAATTCTAAATCATGGTCAAGTTTAGCAAAAGATGTACATCTACAGATTCAAGAAAATTAAGAAAATTCAAACTCAAAATTATTTTCTATACTTCTGAGAATTTCTAAGAACAAAAAACAACTCAAAAGTATATATAAAAGTAACATCAAAAATGAATAAATGAGATTATATTAAATTAAAAAGCTTCTGTACAGTAAAGGAAACAACCAATACAGTGAGAAGACATTTTATAGAATGGTAAACCATTATGGCCAGTCACACCTCAGGGAGAGCAAAAATGTATAGAATACATAAAGAACTCAAAAATATTTAGACTTCACAAAATAAACGGCCCAATTAAGAAATGGGCAACTGAAATGAGCAGACATTTCTCAGAAGTACAAATGATATTAAATACACTAAAAATATTCAGTATTTCTGGCCATTAGAAACACAAATTAAAAGAAAATCAAATTCCATCTTACATAGACATCATCAAGAAATCAATACTTTCCTATTTTTGTAGATAACACGTTAGATTATTAAGTGCATGAGGAAATTTCTTAAAAGATATACCAAGATAAGGAAAATGATACCAAATTTTATGACTGTTATAAAATATGAGTTTATTAACTGAAATATCCACATGTAAGAGGTGCCTAATGTGTCTAAATAAAGCAGTAGGATATTTAAGCAATGTATGAGTAAAATAATAATTACATATTATAATTTACAGTTACAAAATATTAACACTAATGAAGAAATTTCATAAATGGTAAAATTTCAGAGAAATTTAGGATATGAAATTCAACTATAATATTTTTCCTTAAGTACAATTGTACCTTATAATAAATCATCTTTGTATCTAATCTACAGTAAGTGTATTTCTCCTTCCAAACTTTAAAAAAGTTTGAATGATTTCTTTTTTAAAAATATACATGTATCATTTTGAATATCTTAGCAAGTATTATACTCTTTTTAAAAAAAAAATAAAAAGTAAAAAGGACAATGAAAAATTAAGATTTATTGACAGGAAGAGCTAATGTTTAATGATTTGACCAATCTTGTATACCTATATATGATAATCTGAGCTACAGATTTGACAATAAAAATATGTAATATAAGAACAATTGTTAATCTTCTATTATTGTTTTGAAACTCTGTACAATATGTATTGTTGTATGTTGCTCTGTTTTTGTCTTTGTTTTTGTTATTTTGTTTTGCTTTAATTTTGTTTTTACTTTTTAAAGTAAAGTAAAAAATAAAGGGGTCCAGGGAGATAGCTCAGTGGAAGAAGCGCTTGCCTGGCAAGTGCAAGGGCCTGAGCTCAATCTCTGGTTCTGAAAGAAAAAAAAAAAAGTAAAATAAATTCTATGTGTATGTCTTTTATTTTAAGCTATTTACTATTTTTGGCAAGTAAATAAAGTATATAATCATTTTATGGGAATTTAAAGACTAAAATATGTTTCACTAAAACAAATGAAACCAAACAGCAAGAAATGATGGTGAAATTATAGTCAAAAAGAACCCTTCTATATTGTTTGTGGGAATGTGAACTGGTAAACCACTATAGAAATCACTTGGAGACTCCTTCAAAAGCTAAAAGTAATATTCCATTTAATTCACCTCTTTCTAAAAGAGTTAAAGTTATCATACCGTAACATGGCTATGCAAAATCAGGTTTATAGTAGCACAATTCATGAGCGAAGAAAATGTGACAGTTACACACAGTAGAGTAGTATTCTGCCATAGAGCACAAATTTGAGTCTTTTTCAGGAAAATGGGTGCACTTTGAGAACATAATATTAGGTGAAATAAAAGACACACAAGCTTAAATATTGTATGATTTGTCTTATATAAGAAACCTCAAGTATAAATAAGGAGCAAAATAATAAGAAATACAAAGATAGATCTTTGCAAACAGGCAGAGGAGGCAGAGATACAGGGGTAGGGGATTTGGAGATGGCAAAAGTGTTGGGAAAAATTAGGCAGTGTCAGCTATATGTATCAACTGCTTAAAAATGTAATCAGTATATAACAAAAATACGCAATCTAAAATAATAAAACTTATTTGTTCATTGCAGTATAAAATAAAACAGACACTTAAAAATGCAACAGTAACTACAAAATATTGAAGAAGCCAGTATAAACCAAAACACTGTATTAAGAAAGTATTAAGTTAAAAATAAAAGAATAGATTTGAAAGAAGTAGCTCCAAAGAAGATATATGATTTACATAGAGATTTCTTGAATTAATTATAGAAAAATGTAATCATCACATTAGTTATTAAAGAAATATAAATCAAACACACAATATGATGGCATTACATACTCATAAAATTGCTATAATAAAATAGAAATAACAACTACTGTTGAGAAAAGTGAAGAAATTATAACCTTCATACACTGCAATTGGGATTGTAAATTTCCACAGTCACTTTGGAGAACATTTTAGAAGTTTCTTAAAAAGTAAAATATAAATTTCACACACAACCCAGAAATTCATTTCCTACACATTTAACCAAGACTAATGCAAGTACATGTTCATTAAAATAGTTTTACATGTACAGTTCTAGCATCATTATTCCTAATAGCCTCAAATTAGAAATAGCTCAATGCCTACTGATAGGTGAAAGAACAATCTAAATGTTTTACGTTATTCTCACTAAATGAGATGGTATGTAGATATAAAATGGAGCAACTTATTGGTAAGTACTACCACACGGATGAGCCTAGAAACCATATGCAAATGAAGCAATATATGAAAGACGACATATTATATGATTTCATTCATATAATATTATGATTGAAGACATATTATATGATTTCATTCATTTGCAACGTTCAAAAATGAAAATATACAGAAAGTTCATTAACATTTAACTGGAGTATGGAACACAAATATACAGTAAGTTCATATAGGTATGAAGATGATGGCAGCATTCTAAAACTGAACTGTGGGACTGTTTTCTCACAGTAAATTTACTAAATTATACTTATTTGCATATGCAAACTGAAAAATTATATTGAATGCAAGTTATATTTAATAAGTACTTATTTAAATATAAAAACTCTGGTAGATTTTATACATTCTTACCAACAATTACTTGATGAATCTGCTTTGGTGTCAAAATTATGCTGCAATCATGTTTTTCTTGAGGAGTGGTTGGTTTTGATTTTAGTCTTTTGAGAACCTGAGAAAAATCATATTACATTCAGAATTAACAAAAAGTCCTTTCTGAGTATAATAAAACAATATGTAAAATAATGCACATGCCTTTCTTTCCAGGGAGACTTTCTCATTGGATGCCATTTCCCTGGTAGATAACAATCGATTACTTTTGATTGGACATTCTTTGGTAGAGCACTCTTCTTGTATTTCCTTTTGAGAAAGTACGGGTGACTTCAGACCTGATGCTGGCTGCATGTTTACCTCTATCGCATTATCTGAATATACGATTTTCCTCCTGAAAAAGTGATGATAATAATAATAATAGTAATAATAATAAGCTGATGAGGTAAAGTCTTTTAGAAAGCATATGAATCCAAGTATTCCCCACAGTCTGTGCTACTACTGCCCCATATCTACTTCATAAATTGGTTTCGCTAATCTGGAGAAATATCGGTCTGCTAGTAGACTCCCTTCTTAAATGCCTGATGTAGCATCTTGTATCCTATACTCCCATTCCATTCCCATATTCATAGATTGCCCACAGTGAAATACCTGTACAGAACACAATGAACAACTATGTGGTATAATTTATGCTGAAGACATTTTGAGGATCAATGTGAACATATACTTTACTTGTAATGTATCCTTCTTCAGTTCTTTTTACTGCCCTGCTCTATTTCCTTAAAGTACGTTACTGATATGAATGGACATTTCTTTAAGGAAAAAAATTCAAATATCCAAATTTATTTTTAAAATGTTCAGTATAACTAGTCATCAGAGGAATTCAAATCAAAATCACAATGAGATCACATTTCACCTAAGTTATAATGACAATTACCAACAAGAAAAATGATAGATTCTGGTGAATATATGAAGAAAAAAAGCTGCAATCCAAGATTATGAATTAGTACAGCTACTAAGAAAAGCAGCATGGATTTTTTTTTCAAAAAATTAATAAGAAGGTTGGGGAGATAGCTCAGTAGTCTAAAGTGCCTCTGCAGGCAAGCTTAGGCAAGCACAGGAACCGTGGTTTGATGCCCAGTACCACATGCCACATCAGCCCTGCCTCCAGGCAGGCTAAGCCGGCTACAAAGAAAATAATAATAATAATAATAATAATAATAATAATAATAATAATAAGTACTATCACTATCAACAATCTCACTTCTGAGTGTATATCCAAAGGAAATAAAATTAGTATATCAAAAAGTAATGTTTACTGTGACACTATTCATGATAGGTGTGATACATAATCAGACTGTGTTCCTTAATAAATGAATGGATATATACCTATATGCATGTGAATATTATTTAGTCATGCAAAGAATGAAGTGCTATCCCTTGAAGCAAAGAGGTGAAACTGGAGGAAATTATATTAAATTAAATTAGTCAGACACACAGAGACAAATAACCAAACACGTTATCCCATATGTGCATGCTAAAGAAAATCAACCTGAAAACAGCACATAATTATTAGAGGCTACAAAAGGTGGGGGTAAGGAGGAATACAGGAAGGTGGGATAATGGATACCAAAGCACATTCAGAAAGTAGTAATAAAGAGTGTGTTGACCATAATTTACAATGTCCTACAAATTTTATAAAGAAATAAAAGATTTTGAAATCTCTAAATGCAAATAATGAGAAATGAATGTGTTAATTATCCTTATTTAACTAGTACACATTACATATTTGTACTGAAATACCACACTATACCCATTAAATATGTACCATATTTATGTTAAGCAAAAATTATAACATCATTTAAGAAGACTGAAATGCTATTCTGATTTAAACATATACATATATATTTATATACATAAACTTGTGGGGCCAGGTAGATGGCTCAGTGGAATAAGCACTTCCCTGGCAAGCGCAAGGGCCTGAGTTCAATCCATGGTTCCGCAAAAAAAAAAAAAAAAAGATTAAAAAAAAAACTTGCACAAAGTAATAATAAATTTGAGAACATAAAAGAAAAATTTGTGACTGGCACTATGACTGAGGAATAGATCTTTACCTCGCCTCTTCTTTCTGCAGGCGCATACGTCTTAAATAATTGATATGATTTGTATAGTAGTATCGATTTACCCTCCTCTCGATTTTTTCAATTTCATTATATTCAAAATCAGGATCTATATAAGTATATCTTGGAATCTTTGTGAAAATCGTCCTGCAATATGAGTAATTTGCATTAAGATCTATGCATAAACATTTGTTCAATCATTATTTTAAGGGCCAGGGATATGGCTCAGTGGAATAAGTGCTTCCCTGGCAAGTGCAAGGGCCTGAGTTCAATCCCAGGTTCCACCAAAAAAAAAAAAAAAAAAAAAAAAATCATTATTTTAGAGTGCTTGCTATTCAATATCTCAGGTGTTGGGCATAGTATGTTGAACAGCACAGGATCCATTTTTTTTCTCACATAGATTGTTTATACGAAAACATTATTACATATAGAATTAGAGTAGATATTGAGGCCTAAATCATTCCTTAATCTAATTAAATTCCTTCTTCTTGAGGTCCCCCTAAAGCTAATCATTCTATATTAGAGATATGACTTTAAGAAACAAGAAATAACTCTGACTAGTGTTTTTTTAAGTTTATGACTTTTAGTTCCATATGATTAAAATTAAAAGCAAAGAAAAATGACTCATTTTGTTTAGCATGTTACTTTCTTTAAAAACCAGAGCTTATGAAGTAGCCATTGATGATATAAAGGAAACAATCCACTAAAAACTGCAAATTACATCTCATATTAACTGGCTTTCTGTTCTTTTCATTCACCATATATTTTCAGTAAAAACAAAAAGTACAATTATTTCTATGTTTTAACTGTTTTTACCTCAATACTCAACAAATTTAATCATTCATTTCGAGGGTCACCATCAGCAGTTAACTCCTTTGTATGAGGCATTTTATGCACACATATATATGTATATATTTATATATATATATATATATGTATTGAAATATCCAACTATACTTCATTAATATGTTGCTTTATTTGTTAATAAAAAATTAAATATTCAAAGAGCTAAAATTGCTAATTAATTTGACATGCTTATTACATTCTGCATATGTGCTATCAATTTTCAAAGTGTCATAAATCTATAGAGTCAAATAATAATCAGAAAAATAAAATAATTCTAACTCTGTGGGCCCTATGATGTGTTGTATATTACTTGAGGAAATGAATTTTATTACTTTGTTTAATCCAGCAGGTACACACTGGAGTTAAATGAAAATATGACTCACAGTATTAGTGATACATTATTTCTCACAGTCAAATAAAAATTAATTACAAATTAACCTAATTTTTTCTAATTTTCCAGTTTCTCAAGGCTTACATGAAGATTGCTTTAACTTTTTTTTTTTTTTAGTGAAGGGTCTACAGTGTGTTTAGGGTCTCATTACTCAATCAGACTCATAGTGATCTGCTTGTTTACAGTCTCCCAAGAGCTGGGATCACAGATGTGCATCACCAAGCTCATTCTCAATTACTATCTCAGCATGCCTGGGGGTGGGGCCAGCACAACAGGCCCCTGTGCCTGTTTGCAGGTGCTTTAATCAGCTTTGCCATTTGGCCAGCCCTGAAGATTGCTTTTACTCACTTAAAGGTTTTCACTAAGTTAAGAAGAGGGAAAAATATTTAGTTATTCAAAGGTAGTAATATTTAAATTTCGATTCATGTGCTAAGAATCTTTACCATCTTTAGCACCTAGAAATAATTTATATATCTAAAGTCTTGACATCTGACACAGGGAGAAAGAGACAGACAAAAGCAGTGGATTAAATACTCTAAATGTCAAGGAATTATCAATATAATTGAATCTTAAATCTTTACTTGTTCCTTAAAAATACAAAATTGGAATTAAGTGATTAAACACACACACACACACACACACACACACACACACACACACACACAATAGGGCTGGTAAGATTGCTCAGCAGACTAGTCACCTATTTTAGCAAGCACAAGGAACAGGGTTTGATCCCCAGTCCCCCATCCTGTGCTGGCCCCGCACGCGCACCCTGCACCCTTAGGGCACGCTGAGCCAGCCACCAGTCCAGGCAGGGTGGTGCACATAGGAGGCCATTAACCGGTATCCATTCTATTCCCCTGCTGAGTTACATTTCTGGCCCTTCTCACCTTGCCCATTCCCTGTGAATCACGTGCTATGCCCCAGGGGTTGCACCTTCCCCATTGCCTAGATATCTGCTGACCCCAAGAGCTGAGACTTCCTCATTCCATCACCCCTATGCTATATATACCCAGCACCTCCCCTAAATAAATGGGACTTGATCAGAATCCTGTCTTGTCTCCATTCGAATCTTCTGTCCTTTGTCCCCTCTTCAATTCCCTGCTCCTCCCCCAGGTGACTTTTGTTGACAGACCCGCTGGTTCGGGACAAGTGGCGCCCAGCGAGTGGGGCACCTGGTATGGAGGATTCACTGATGGAACCGAGAGAGCGCATGCAAGAGAAAGCCAGTAAAAGAGAGAGCCAGCAAGAGAGTAAAAGAGGCAAAAGAGAGAATAAAAGAGGCCTGTGCCACAGTTGCCTGCTGCGACATCTGTACCTCGGTAAACGGATGGCACCCCTTGCCCCTTACCCTTTGAGGATGGACAGGCATTAAGTGAATGAGATATTTGTAGAAAGTGAGCAGAGCATTAAAGGCATGAGGAGTAAAGGTTAAAATTAAGGATTATTATGAGACTTTTGGACCTAAAAAGGTCCCAGTGATACAGGGAAGTAAAACTCCTGACCTGATCTAAATAGGAGTTCATGTTCTTTAGAACCAAAGAGTGGATTTTGGGAACAAATGGAGGTTGAGAGTGAAATATTTGATTGGGAAGGAAAGCTTCTGTATCAGAGAGGACAGAAGGGGGACCCGAGCGGGTTGCCCAGAAAGCTATCTCTTTCAGTTTATTTTTATAGAGCAAAACCTTGCGCGGGGTTAAGGTAGAGAGTAAGAGGTGAGAGAGTAAGAGGTGAGGTGCCATCCCTGGCTGCCCAAGGCTATGGCTTTGGGGCAGGAAGAGGGGCCATGCTGGACACAGGAGAGGAAGAGGTCTTGCTTAGGTGGATGTGGGGTGGGACAAAACTATGGTCAACCAATGGGATTGTAAACAGCATTGCTCAGGTAAAGTTGATTACGCCCAGGGCCAAATGGGGGCTGGGCTGGTGACTCACTTAGGTCTTTTTAGGTGATTGATACCTATTTAGAATAGCAATCCCAGGTGCTACTCTTTTAGCATTTGTTTGGCCTTTAGGTCTTTTAGGTCTGGCTCACAGCAGGAGCATCCGCCCCTCTCACAGTTACAAGATAACTTGTCTTTTGTGCTGTCTCCTTCAAGGGCCTTTCCCTGTCTGTCTGCCTATTAATATTTCTAATTTGGCTACCTATAACACCAGTTATGGCCTTTTCCTACTGTAATTTAATTGATAAAATCTTATCCCAGAGACACTGTGACCCAGTTGTTGCTAATGTGATAAAAGAGGGTGAAAATATACTACAAGGACAAAAACATAAAGCTCATCTTAAAGGACAAAGAACCCCCTACGGGTGTGTGCCCTAAGGGAACAGAATCTTGAAATCAAAACCAGGAAGCCAGATTTATGTTGAGAATAAAGAGCAAGGAGCCCAGCAGGAGGATTTAAAATGTTGTGAGCTTGGCCAGAAAGAAAGCGCCAAGAAAGCTGTAGACTGCAAAGATGGAGCTGAGCGGATCTCCATTGCCGGGAAGGAACCTGAGAATTCAAGGGATGGCCTGAGGGCATCATAGGAGGAGACAGGTCTCCACCCTTTACAGCCTCAGAACTGCAAAGGTCAGTGACTTTGCCTTGAGGTAAAAGCCACAGAGCCCGTTCCAGAATGGCAGCGGTGGCTGCCCAATATGGAGCCACGGCTCCATACACCACAGCCATTTTAGAAACTGTGGCTGACAATTGGCTTACTCCTGAGGACTGGCAGGCAGGCATTAGCCAGAGCCACCATCTCTGGGGGGGCTATCTCCTATGGAATTCTTCCTGTATTCAAAGAAGCTTCCACAATGATATCTTCACTGTTGATGTAGGATTTGTTACCTTCACCAGCTGCAATCAAATACTTAACTACAATAGCCCCATTTGCCCAAAAATGGGACATGTGTTTGTATGCGGAGGAAGCTTAGCCTTCACATATTTACCTACCAACTGGACAGGACTGTGTCATGGCAATTGTATTGCCTGATATAGATGTCATCTCTGGTAATGATCCCGTACCCCTTCCCAGTTTAGATTAAAAAATTAAAATTGGAATTTTCAGACTTATGATATCTACTACTAAACCTCTTCAAATTAAAACTTAACTGCCTATTAAAAATAGAAGTCAGCTTCTCTTTATTATGTATATTAGAACACATACTGCATTTCCTGGCCCTATTGTCAGCAGTAAACAAAAAAAGTTTTGTAAAAAAGCGGTTCTTTTAAATTGCAAATGGTTGGTTCCAAGTGTGTAGGCACACACCTGGGGGAAGGGACAAACAGAGATCCGGAGGGCCCCGTGCTCCCATCCACTGTCATCCTAGGCTGACCCAGATTGACATCTGCAAGATAGGTTCAGCTGCAG